CTTGTCCGTATACCCCACATCTTACAATTTTATCATGTCTCGTACCCGCATTCGTACCCGTTTCCATGCAACTTAGGTGTGATCCAAAGAAGAGGTATGCTATTACAAATTTTGGCCTTTTCGATAAATTTCAAGAAGTTCACTTTCAAGAGACTAATTTGAAAACTATTAATGATTTTCTGTTAAAACTCCTGGGTAGCAATTTTTATACTGAGTGGTCCTGCTTGCCTTCAATTGGTGCTTTTGGTGAAGTGCTCATTGATTGGATTGGAGCTAAATTGAGAAAATTAAGAGAATTTTATGGCCAGCATGTTTTTACTGTTATCCTTTTGAGACTTGGTGGATAAAAAATGTGGCACTTTCATAGGTTTATAGTCCTCACACTCTCAGGGAAAGGTTTCAATTTAGCAAAATCTAAGAGATTCTAAGTCATCATTTACTGCTGCTTTGATTTTAGCTTGTGATTGTAATGTTACTTAGTGAGTTAAGAGTTCATTGACATTCCTCCTACAAGGATGAAAATGTACATGACTAGGGAAAAAGACAATTCTGCTTCAGTCAGCCTAGACAGATTCTTCTTTAATTTGGATTGAAAAAATTCTTTTCCAATGACAACTCAAAGAGGTTAGGCTAGTCAATAAATATCTTATCATTGTCCAATTTTGTTGGAATATGGGGGAGATCGAACAAAATGTGAAATTATTCATATTTGAAAAGGTGTTGCTACAAGCTTCTGGGTTGGTTTTATGATAAAGTTGTTGCTCTGTGGAATGAAGCTCCATAAATTTATCAGTTGCAGATAATATAATCAAACTAAGATACTTAAGGAAGAAGATTAAAGCATAGACTGATGATAATTTTTTAGCATCAAAGCAACAAAAAAGAAATAACTTGATGAACTATTAAATATCGATGAGCTCTATCAGTTGAAGAATCAGTCACGAGAGAAGGGTTGTCTTAGGAGTTGAATACTCTAACTTACAAAAAATAGATATTATGAAAACAAGGATCAAATGTTCATTAGTTGAAAGAGGGTGATCAGGATACATCTTATTTTTATAAACTTGAGAAGTGTGAGAAAGAGATCTAATAAAATAGCTGTTTTAGATTGGGATGGCATAGAAATTGGGTCGGATTAGGGGCATTATTGAAGCCTTTCATCAGTATTATAGAAAGATTTTTTTAGGGCAAGAAATGAGCATAGATGTCAAATACTTGGAACTGTAGGACATTATCTAGAGATGGAACACTGATTTTGCTGAATACAGTACATAGTGCACTGTCCCTCTTTTGGATGTCCTTTTTCCTCTTTCTTGCGTGAATATATGAGAGGATTGATAAGATTAGGATAAGGTTTTTCTAGGCGAGATCTTTAAATCACAATGGTGTTTCTAATCTAATCAAATAGGAGAATGTTTGTAAGCCACACACTTGCAGGGACTTGACGTCCTGGATATTAGAGCAATAAATAGAACTTTGTTGGCTAAGTGGCTACGGAAGTGGATCGATAATCAGTAGCGTAGCCAAGATTTTCTTTTCCAAGAGAGGCCAAAATATATAGGTGAAAAAACAATTTGTAATAGAAGTTTTGAAAAAAAAACCAATTTCATGAATAATTGAATCATTTTACATATTTCACTCTTCTAAAACTTTTTTAAAAATTTGTATTGATTGTAACTAGCTTTCCCATAAACACAAACTATAATTTCTTTCTCTTTTTCTTTTTTTGGTGAAACTTGAATAGATTGTATGCCATTAAAATACATTTCAAATGCTAATAGTAGAAAGAAAATTTTTCTAACTACTCTACTTATAAAAGAATTGTAGTACGTGAACATAAAAAAACTCATTTCCAATAATAATCTACCCATTGTTTTAAATATTCCCGATATACTGGTCAATATATCTTTTTATAAGGCTTGTCACAAAATGACATGGTCTCAATATCCATTACTATTTTTTGTCAATTTCGGGCGATATATCCCGACAAAGCTGATCTATCCGTCGGTACGTTAATCAATATGTCTTTGTATGTGGCTTGTCACAAAATATTATGTGAAATTGTGTTAATATTTCTTTAGCAAATTCTAGCCCTATATGAAGTTTTCTAGCAAATTCTAGTAGGTTATTTTCCCTAAGTAAGTTTCTATAACTGACTAATGATCCTAATTATATATTATTACATTTTGTATGCCTAGATGTCATTACTATATATCATCGATATCCGTAATCCGATATGGATTTTGGTCGTTTGATATTTCTACGATATCTGACATTTAAAACTTTGAATCTGCTTATTAAAATTATCATCAAAATATATTTCTACTTCTTACTGTGAAACTTCATGGAATTAGAAGGATTTCATTACACAGTTCCACCACAAAACCACATGAACATATAAACCCCATTTAACATTTTTATTATTAAATGAAAAACTATATAAAGATTAAACCTTTATTTCTCTATTCTACTTGAATGCAAACAAATAGTAATATGAAACAAAGAACCGTTTCAGATTACAATACAAATCTGAATAAATTAAAATGTGAAATTAAAATAAGGTTAGATTACACTAAACCCCCATGAACTTCCAGTGTTTTGTAGTAAACCCCATGAACTTTCAAAATCACACTGAACCCTCAATAACTTTTGCAAAAAACCCATGAACTTTTAGGTAATTTACACTAAACCCCGTGAACTTTCAAAATGCTTTTTTATGCTGTTTTTTGGATCCAATTTATGAGGGTTATCTACAAAACTCAGAAAGTTCATGGGTGTTTTTAGCAATTCCAATAGGTTATTGGAGGTTTAGTGTGATTTTGAAAGTTCATGGGGGTTTACTACAAAATACTAAAAGTTCAAGGGGGTTTTGCGTAACTTACTCTTAAAATAACTTATGGATGATAATCATATAGATGATGGTAATCCTAATATTCTTTACCAAAATGCAAGCCTACAACATCCAGGAAATGAATTCACATGGAAAAAAAATAAGTTTTCGCTTTAATTAGGGATGTTCAAAACTATATTAACTTTTGTTAGTTTGTTGGCTTAGTCTTTCTCATCCATAGACCCACAACTCTTCCTTTATACAATACACTAACCCACAACTTAAGCATATTGCTTGTATAATTACTCTTGGTTAAATAATAAATAAATTTTAAAGTGTTTCTATACTAAATACATAAGAATCCATCTAACCCATGCTCATAACAAATCATTTATGCAAGCTCTTAAGCATTTGAGTATAATTGTTCATCAAAAAAGAAACATATTAAGCATAATTTATACAAATACTACACTTACATACAATACCTCATATATAACTAGTAGAAAAGTCCCGGAGGCATGGCCACCCCTGCCACCCACACCCCCCACCCCCCCAACCCAAAAAAAAAAATCCAATAGTGTGGATAACTCAACAGTGTTGTTAAAAAAACAGTTCAAAGCAAAATATTATAATGACAGCGGAGTATTATAGATTCAAAATTTGTCAACAGTTTCGAACTTTGGGAAGAACATTCTTAAGCAAAATCTGAAGCTTTCTTCATAAATACAAAAATTCAGTTAGGAGATGGTGAAGGGACTTATTTTTGGCTGGATAAATGGGTGGATCATTTTACTCTTGCCTCTTCTCTTCCTAACTTATTTCATGTAGCTTCTTCTCCAATTTCTACTGTAAAATCTCAGAGGGTATATACTAACACAAATTGGAGATAGCAGGCTAAACTTTCAAGGCAACTTACAGGTACTTTGGTTTTTCAATATTTTGAGCTGTTGAAAAATTCATGGTATAGCTGCTCCTTTAGACAAAACTGTGTTAAAAGCACAAGTTTTTTAAAAAACTTAAAGATCTTTTTATAAGTTTTACAAAAAGAAAATCTCTTTATAAGTTCTTAGTAGATGGTGGAGTTAGAAATATTCTGATCTTTGGAAAATTAAGATTCCTTTGGAGGTGAAGATTTCGGTCCGGTTAGTTCTACTTGCAAATTGAATACCATAGATAGATTTGTATTGAAGAATATTCAAGTTGAGGTAGAGAAAATGAATCACATATTCCTCTTTTTTTAAATGTGATTTTGTCCAGTCTATTTGGAGCTCCATGTGCTATAAACTTCATGTTATTGGGTTTCCTCATGATCTATTAGAGCTTTGGGCTCAATGGAGACCTGATACTTTTATAGAAAATGCAAAAACACATGCACTTTTATAGGATACTCACCTGTGTGCTTTTGTTTGATGTATATCGGGAGAGAGGAATAGGAGAATTTTCATGCAAAAACACATGCACTTACTATATATTTTGGAGGAAATTTTCTAATTTTGCTTCTTTTTGGTTAGGCATTCCATCGCAAGCTCATATTACACATGGTGATGAGAAGGGAGCTGTTGGATCTGTTACGGGGGCGAGAGTCTACATGTTGGCGCCAGTGAATCAGAGTCTTAATCGTGGACGAGCAGGTGATGGGGCTGAGAATCCTGTTGTTATTGAATGACTTATGTCTGTAACCTTTGAAGTGTGCCGAGTTGTATTAGTGTTTCATATGTTACTATGATCTGTAGACCACACTCTAGGACTGGGAGTGTGGTCTTTAACTTTGTAATCAGTCTCTTTTAAGTAATGGTAATGGATGGAGCCTCATTTTGAGATTCCATCCTTCTTCTAATAAAAATAGCCCAAATCAGCAAACTAGGGAAAATACTACAAATCACAAAGTGACAGGAAAACTTCTAAAAATATAATCACTGAAGTATTCTATCAAACACCTAGAGCAGAAAATCCAATATCATATTCAACGAAACAATCATTAGTTTCATTCATCAAAACGAACATAACCCATCTCCTAACTCTGAAACCGAACCACAAATAATCCCCAAAATCCCGACTTTAATTAAACCCCGCATCAAAAACAGTAATCCTAAAATACCCATCTCCAAAATCCCAGCTTTCGAACCTCCAAACAAAAGAAACCAACAAAACAGTCAACAAGCAGACTCACCCCATTACGATGCGCACGCTCAACGACAGCCGACGGCGAGAGAAACCCATCACTGCATCTCGAGTGCGAGTGGAACTCAAACCCCACGCGCTCGATCGCCGACTTCTGAACATTAGCCGGCACAAAATCATCATCCAACAGATTCGAACCCGAGTCCCCAAACACCCATCGGTTTACGTATCTCGATGCAGCGATTTGCTCGGGAGTAACTCTCTTCCTCCCTCTCCCCTTCTTCTTCTTCTTGTCGCCCATCTCCTCCGACTAAAGATGGAATCTTTTTGTTATTGGGCTGATTTGAGTTTGGGCGTTGGGGATGTTTTAAATAGAGAGAGAGTTTGGTATGTGAAGTGATGTTTCGATGAGAAGAAAGTTAAGAGGGTTCAGAGCCCGGGGAGCTCAGCAAATGGGGACCGGTGATGGAAAAAACTGGGGCGAAGTACTGCACGCTTTTTACTTGGATATGATACTGTTGGCTGTTTACTGGATTTGATGGAGCCTGTTGACTGGGCCCCGGGTTGACCAGGATGCAACGCATGTGGATGGGCTACAGAGCTAGGGTTTTAGAGAAACAAATCTTCAATAGGGAAACAAATCTTCTTCGAGGGATTGCTAAACCGTATTCGAGAAAATATACGTGACCGCATCCGTTAGTATATAGATATAGTTACTCAAATCTATAACCGAGAAGATATGATTACGGATATAATTTTATAGTGAAATATTTGTATTCGTATCCGAAATATCTGAATACATATTAGTCATACTCTTACGATAGTTTCCATTATTAGATTATGGATTTGTGGTTAATTTTGATGATCAAGATGTCTAATCTTAGCTTTTCAGTTATAATAAACATATTAACGAACTCTTTTGTATCACATGAACTATGTTTTTCTCAACACTATCTAGTTTTCACATATCCATTTTATATTCGCATACATATCCGCTTATATATCTGCATATATATATCTGTAACCGTATTCGATTGTAGCGGATATGGTTATGAATTTTCCTTACCGAATTATATCTGTATTTGTATCCGAGATGGGTAAGTGGATATGGATACAATAAGCATCATATTCGAGCTGTATCCAGACCGTATACATGCCTAATTATGAGTATTTTTTAGTTTTTTTAACTGTTTTGAGAACACCATTTTGAGTGTCTTCATCAACACTAGTTTGACCATTTTCATACACATATATTATATTTTAACAATGTGAAATTATTATACTATATTTTATTATATTAATTATATAGTATAATATAGTCTAGTATAAGATATAATATATTACTTAATATAATAATTATTATGTTATATTATTTTTATTATATTATTCTTAATAGAATAATATAGTTTTTGTAGATTATATTTATAATATATATTATATTATATTACATCAATACATATCGTATTTTAGTTTTATGATATAATAAATTGAGATTATTATACTTTAACACTTTTATTATATCATATTAATTGAATACAAAATATACTAACATGAATTTAAATAAAATAGCAAATTATTTATTGTTTAATATTTTATATTGTTAACTATATTTTCTAATTTACTATGATGTTTAACTTTTATATAATAGTAATTTTATTATATTATGTTAATTTAATATAATATATAGTAATCTAATATTTATTTTAATTTATTTTATAATTTTTATATTATGTTATACTTTTCATCAATGTAATAAAACATATTAATGGAATATATTAAATTATTAAACTTATTTGAATATATTATATTAATATATTAAACATATTTTAAAACATTATAAAACTAAAATATTATTTATAAAATAATATGTTATATTTAACATAATTTAATATATTATATTAATATTGTGATAAAAAATATATTATATTAATATTTCTACAACATAGTAATATATAATAGATTGAGGATTATATTGTTTCATTTATAATATTATATTAAATTATGAACATATTTTAGAACATTATAAAGCTAAAATATTATTTATAACATAATATGTTATATTTAACATAATTTAATATATTATATTAATATTGTGATAAAAAGATATTATATTAATATTTCTACAACATAATAATATATAATAGATTTTGCATTATATTGTTAACAAATAATCATTTATAATATTATATTAAATTATAATATATTTATTATAAATAAAAAGTAATGTATATTAGTTATATACTATTTTAGTAAATATATAATATTATAGTAATTTTATAATATTATACTAATTAAATATAATATATAATAATCTAATACATTTATATTATATTTTATAACTTTTATATTATATAATATTTTTTACATAATATAACTGTTATGGTGTTCCCATTTCGTAAAAGTGTAACTCAGTGCCAAGCAACGAACAAGTGTACTTTTGCCTGTTATGCCCTAATTAACTTGGCGGCCAAAGACCAATAGGGACGACAACTCAGCCGACTTGTTGGACAACTCAGACGACTTGTCGAGCCGACATCCTTCCATGTCGACTCGAAAGGTGGTACTTATCGCCCACTTTGTCAAATACGACTTGCCTCGAGTCCACTCGATCACTTGCCAAACGCCTTGTAGAGTCGACTCGAAATGTGTTACTTCTCGGCAAAGCTAAAAGATTGTTTTCGTCTCAAGCATCTCCCCCTATGACAACGTGTTAACATCGCATTTAATGCTTGACAGGTGACATCATGAGTCTAGTCCAGATAGTCTTCATGATTCATCGGACCACGTGGGCTCTGTCACACCGCCAGTCCAAAGCGACCTTCCCTCCGCTCGCTAGTTGACACATGTAAAGTAAGTGCCGACGTGGCCGCCAACTCATACTTCGTCGTCGCCTTTCTGCTCTCGGTCAGAGTGGTCCATTTGCCCTTACCACCTTAGTATAAATATATGTACTATTTTACCTTAAAAAGTGCTATAATTTTGGTTTCTAATCTAAGCCTTAAGCAATCACATGCACAGTTCTTATTTACCCCACTCAAGTTCCTCATCTAACTTGATCATCGAAGATATAACAGGGGAACCAATCCTCATCCTCTTACGAATTCCTACTTGTGCAGATATTTCAGAACCCTAATTCAAGAACTAGACATAAAGTCAGGGAAAAAAGCAGTCCCTTCATCGATCTTCAACAAATTCGTCCAAACACGGACATAATTGACTGTGTGATTACTTAAACATCAACAACAACATATTATTATAATATATTAAATTAATAGAATATTATATATTAAAAATGAATTATAATAAAATATATTTATTAAACATATTTGAATATGTTATATAATATATTAAACAATTTTTTAAATATAAAATATTAATTATATTATAAAATAATACATTATATTTAATATGATTTTATATGCTATATTATTATTCATAAAATATAATAATATATAATATATTAGGCATTATATTATTAACAAATTATCATTTATAATATTATATATTATATTTAGCTATTATACTAACATCCTACTCAAACTCAAAACATCATGCCAAAATCAAAACACCTAAAAGATGTTTTCAATTAAGTGTAGTGTTGTAGTTTTTGAGTGTTTTTTATCATAAAACATGGATTTATTTGGATACCATTTTGTTTTTCTTGTTGTGTTTTTATGAAAAAACACCATGGTGTTATGTTTTTCCCTTAAAGTGTTTTCAAAATACCATATTGAGTGTTTTTGTCAACATTAGTTTGACCTATTACAACATTAGTATTAAACATATTATTAATATATTATACATTAATTATAATAAAATATATTATAAATAAAATATTATAATATTTAGTATACATTATAATATTTATTATAAGTATCAGTATAATAATAATATAATATTGTATAATGTAATATAATATTATATTATACTTTAATGAGTTATATTATGTTATAATTATTATTATATTATAATCATTACATATTATTTTCAAATACTTATATATTAATTATTTTGGTATATCAATTTGTTATTGTTATATATTATATAATATTTTTAAAATAATATTATTTTATTATTTCTATAATATTATATTATTATTAATATAATATTATATTATTATTAATATAATATTATATTATTATTAATATTGTTAATATTATTTTATTACTACTACATTATTAATAAATTTATAATATATTATAAATATTTTAATATTACATAATATATTATAGTTTCTAGGAAAAATTGTGTCTAGGCCCTAAAAAAATAAAGGCGTTGTGACCGGGCCCCCTATACTTCTTTTTGTGTGTCAAATCCCTTATTACATAAAGCACTTATTTTCAGCCCCTGTTTAAAATTTCAAGACAGCACAAAGAGATTTTTTTTCAGAAACCCAAAACTGCCCTCCTCTCTCTCTTCTCTCTTCTCTCTTCTCTGTTCTCAGGCTCAAAGCTCAGCCATCTTGAGAACACAACTTCAAAACCCTAGTTTTCAGTCCATTAAAGCTCAGTCATCTTCTCGAAGACCAAGTAGCCAAATCCTTTTTTCTTTTCCTTCTGATGTCACAGGTAGCTAAAGTCGTTGAGAACGTAATCCCTCTATCAATCCCCCAGCATAATCCTCTATCAATTCCCCAGCAGAAGAATCGGTGCCAAAAGGAGGAGCTTCGAGAGCTTGAAGAGTAGAAAGAAGCAATAGATAAACTCGTAGAGACCGGCGTTAAAAGGGAGCTATGGTGTGGTCTCGGATTTATATTAATACAAACAACTGGATTGATGAGGCTTACATTTAGGGAGCTCTCATGGGATGTAATGGAGCCGTGGAAAAGCTCATGAAGGCCTACAGTTTTGATCTTAATAGGTTTAATGAGCTCAAGAAGGGTTGTGCTGCTTCTTTGGCTTCGTTTCCTTTTGAGGGTTGTGCTAGCTTTTTCTGTTATTGCCGTGGAAAAGGCATGCAGGTTGCGTTTTGAAGTCATTTGCTTGGTGGAAAGAGTACTGAAACAAATTACATTACATTGTTAAATCAAATGTCAAAAGAACCATTTTTCAAATAGTGATATTGTTCTTATGGTATGTGTTTTCGTCTCAGTGTTGGGCCTAATTACTATCTGCTTAGAGTTGCTGGAACTGAATTGTTTTTGAGTGAATGTTGCAATTATAGATGAGAGCAGATGGGTTTTGGACTCCCGCACTCTCATCGTGGTAAATTTCAAAAATTGTGATGGATTTTTGGAAAATTTAACAAGTTCAAATGAAAAGCTACATGTTTACTTGAATGTCTATATCTGTGACCTCTGCGCCCTCTACGGCCCAATATTCACCCACCGCATGGGCTCCCGTACTCTCATCGTCATCATCAGCACCGAGCTGGCCCACGAGGCCCTTATCACTAAAGTGCAAGTAAGTGTGTAGTGAGTGTGTACAAACTTCATTGGGGTGATTGTCAA